GCGCGCGCGTTGCGCCTCACGGGTCCGCGTGTATACGGCGATTCGCCGCGCGCGATTGAACCCTCAGCTCCTCCGGGGCGAACTGCTGCGCGTCGTAAATAATCGATATTAATCGCGTCGCGTTTCTGCCTCGGTTTTGAATTCGCACCTCGGAAACGCGAACGGCCGCCCGCCCTCGTTCGTTCCAGCTTATCGCTCGACCCTCGCCCGCGACCCGACGCACGTCGCGCACTGCAAGCGCGCGTATAGACTCGTCGCGTATGCGCTCAGTGCCCTCGCTCATGTTAGTAGTCTCTGTGGACCAATCGTATACTTATCGCATACAAACTCTAATTTGTGGCCCAGATGAGTAAAAAAATTGTGTTTAACCTCATTCTAGCCCTCAAAGAGAACGTAATAGAATATCTCACCCTCTTTGAAACCTCTTAGGCCGAAGAGGATCTACCGAGCCTCTATTGATTGCACTCGCATTGGCCTCTTTACTGCTAAAAGGGAAATAGCGAATCTTTTCAGGCCTATATACTTTCTCCGACGCAGAGACCTTAGTTCGACCTCATTGCTCCCAATTCGAAAACTATGCGAGGCTACACCGAGGCCAAAATATTCGACTTGGGTGCTTATTGTATTAGGCGCGACAGCAAATCGGTTGTGCTTTAGAAATTTATAGTTATGGTAGCAAAATAGTTTTAGGAAACCCCAATTAGCTCCTTCTTCTAGTTCCTATCCGCTTCGGATTTTGGCAATCATCTATTACGACCTTATGCGGCTGCTCGAAATAGTTGTGTAACGTTCACCGCGAACCATGTTCCGAGATTTTTTAACCGTGAGATTCTTCTCCTCCCCACATCTCTTCTCCCCTTCCCTTGCACTATGTTTCGCAGTAGTTGAAATCTACTTTCATTCCTCATAACATGTCCTGGATATTGTAGTTTCCTACATTTTGTCGTAGTAAGAATATCTTTATCTTTCTTCATCTTACGCAGAATTTCCGTGTTTGTTACACGGTCTGTCCATGTCACCCCCAATATTCTGCGATATACCCACGTTTCGAAGGTCTCTAGTCTTTTGGAGATATTGTCAGTCAAGGCCCATGACTCCACTCCATATAGAAGGACAGAGAATACGTAACATCGCAACATCCTAACCGTTTTCAAGTGCCGACTCTTGGACAAAGAACTCATTTTGTTGAACACAGTTCTTGCTTTCTCTATGCGTATACAATTAGCTACGTTAGCGAAAATTGTTTTTCAGTGTCCCGATTCTGCCTCTTAAGATACACAATTGGGGAGGAAAGTGCGTGGATTCTGGGACGCCCTGTGTACTCGTTCCGGTAAACGACCGCGCATACCGTGTGTAATGTATACCGCATGTGATCCGCGGAAGGCCTATGCAGTAATCGTATCCGCGCACGTCCAGACTCAACATAATTACCACACGGACCTGCTACAGATTGCTTATTGTTCGCGTCGATTTTTTGCCTCCTCCGGTGGAGAGGAGAGCGGAGGAGGGACGGGGGAGGGAGATTCATCCCCCTCGCCGGCAGGGGATTAACGTTGCACGCGGATGATGCACGAGTTATTGTACCTTCACGGACGTCAACGTCGACGAGCGACGTGCCGGGCTCTTGAATCGTTTCGCCGCGCCAGACGATTTTATTCGTCGCAGCACGGCAAAAGCGCACTCGCGTGGTAGCCGGACGCGTTTAACCACCCGCGGTGAATAATCTCGAGAAACAGATCCATGTTAAATACTTTGTTTTTACTTTAGTCGACTGCCCTCGGTGCTCAACCGACAATAACTAATATAATTCGCGCAATTTCGATAATCTACGGTTCGATTTGCGACGCTGCGAAAAATGTGTTTTACAATTTGTGAGCATCGGTCGGATTTCTGGGGAGAAATACGGGTACATCCGTGAACCATGTCGGATACCAGAGGGCTTTATTCGCCAGAATTCATTTCGACATTGTTGCAATAAAAAGATATATTATACATTATTGTACTTTCATATAATTAACTCTATGCAGTGTTATAAAATGTTATATACTTGTTCTGCCGGAAAATGTGCGGGCGCTTTTATTTCGGCATAGCAAAACACTCGCGCGAGACAGAAGATAACCGCAATACGGCACGGCTAATTTTTCGCATTTCTACGCTTTGTGTCCGCTTCCACTGTTAGAGCGGGGAATTTAATAACCCCGCTGCGGAAATTTTTATGCGCCGTAGTTGCCCCGCTATTAAAACAGGAGTAATTAGCACTTGTTCCGCGCGCGTACCGCGGAGAAATTCGAGATAAGGCAACAGAGGAATTTACAGAGATTCGCGTTCTGCCGTTTTTGACGCATCAAGATATCTCACGTCGGGAAATAGCCAACTTTAATAATCTTAAAATACCTTGTTTACAACAAATTAAAACCAGATATAATTGTACCTATGTAATGACACAGAGAGAGAGAGAAGACCATTACGTGTCATCAGCGATACAAAACAAATCGGACGGGTTATTTTACAGCTCCTTTTCCCAACTGGACCGATTCGGAAGGACAAGACTTGGCTTGAAATCTTTATTTTCGCATCTCGCAGCTCCTTCGTTTTTGATTAATGGACAACGGCGGAATGAAGCTTTGGGGAACAGATTCCACGCGAGAGAACGTTTCGAGAGGAAAGTCGATCGAGAGACGGGACGCGCGACCAGGAGGAACGGAATCGCACGTTTCTCTTCGAGGGGTCGCGGAAACGCGGCGGTGCACTTGCCTGATCGAGACCCGGTAATTATGCAACGGCATCGGCATGCGCGCGGTATAAAGGCAGACGGCTGCGGGATAACAAGGGACCCTCTGCCCGGAGCATCGAAAGTAACGAGAACGAGGATTGATGTCCCGTTCCGCGAGCCTGCGCACACATCGACAGAATTACGCGAGGTGTCTGCATTGAAATAAACCACTCGGCGTGTATTCCGATGCGGTGGAGAACGAGAGAGAGAGAGAGAGAGAGAGATCCCGTCGTTAAGATGACGAGTTATCGAAGGGTCTTATTTCGCGCGAGAATAGTCTTCTCGCTCGGCCGGTCTTGTCGCTTCGTCCCGTTTAAAATTAATCCGCGGTCGCAAAGTGCATCGCGGCTCAAATTGCACGCACTATCATTACGCGTATCGCGCGGATCGATCTTGGCCGACGTTAGTTCCACGACTTAATAAGAACCTGCCAATGTCCGAGGTAAAACTGTTTACTCATTTAGTGTGAGAACAAACCGCGCGGCTCGTCTTCTTCGCGCCCGAGCGAGTTTTCCGGATGAATTTTGAAAAAAAGCTTCCCCGCATCTCTCTCCGATTCTTTATTTTCGCAACTTCCGACCTAGCTTGCTTTTCTTTTCTTTTTATTTCTAATCCATCTGGAGCTTATTATTCTTGTAAACTTTTACGCGATACTTGCGAGTTTATACCAGAAAACTTTCTGCTATTCCGACAGTCACTTATTTATGTAGGTATCTGATTTCATTTCGATCGAAATTCATACTCTTGAAGATTAAGAGATAGCAGCTACCGTAAACGTTTCACGTCTAATCGCTACCCTCAACGGCGCTTATAAATTCATCAATGCCACCTGTGTGTTCTAACGACCGAGTATCTCCCGTTTTGCATACCGGCGCCTAATTATATCGTAACTCACTCGCGTGCAGCGAGTTACTCTCGATGTATCTTCCGCGAGCGCGCTTCATATTTTGCACGCAGAAAGCGCGCTTTCAAGCGGTATCACAGGCCTGCGTGTTATTCAAATGTGGAGCGCGATGCCACACAGGATGTCCGGCTCGAATGTATTCTCAACGCGAGTATCTCGAATAATTTATAATATCTGGCCTTTCATCTTCGAAAAGATTAACGTTGAATTCCTCAGACTCGAAAAATGCTCGGCGCGCGTTGATGGCCGAGTACTTTCGAAACGCCGAAAATTTCAGAGACGTTCGGAAGAAGATACGGATAAATTTTCAAACTTTGAGCCCTCCTCTTCCGAAAGACTCGGAATTTCGAGTCTCCGTATTTCTAATCGCGTCCGCGATATTCTTCACCACGTTTCTGCCGATACCACGCCTGATCTTTGTACTTTCTAATTCTGATATGATCAAGTTAGACAAGTCTCGACACGATAAGTCTTGACACGCGCAATTCTCGCCAATTAAACGACACGTGAGTCACGTTCGCTCTAAATTGTACATTCAGGTATAACTTTTTGCAGCACGACTTGGTCAAGTTTTTGCCAAAAGTTTAACACACGTAAATAATGGGACATTTCTTCGCGCGTATATAATGTATTATCTCTGTGCTGTACCCACAGACTTCTATATGCTACTTGACTCGCTACGTTCGAGCTGAAAAGTGAGGCAAGAGCTCCGCCGTGTCTTGTTAGGTAAATAAAGTAGTTTGTGTGCATCGGTCTGTCACACCCTCAGAAAGGATTTCTGTTACCGAGACGAAAAATATTCTTGACGCATTTATTTATTTCTCACAACCTCATTTAGTATAAAAATAAGACAATATAAAAATAAAAGCAATAATTCTTATTCGCGAATGAAAAAAGCTCGACTTACTATATCGAGACAAGAGTAACTTATATAAATGTAAGTTTGTATATTCTTGCGTGTGGAATAAATTTTCCTTGCATCTTACAACGCACGAAGTTGTGTCACCGCGATATTCGAGAAAAGACGGTACGTAATATCATTTTATTCTGGAGTCTAGAATTTTTCATTTAAGATTAAAATATCCCTTTCTCTATAATAAATACGATTATGCGCTATATCGATTCTATTTTACGATACGTTCAAGTGTAATAGCATTGGATCCGGAAATTTCTTCTGTGGGTGCAGTGGCACACACCGATGCACACATACTACTTGTCTAAGAAGTCTGTGGCTTGTACCACGCCTACGGATACGCGTTCAGATACGAGAATGCACGTTGAACCAAATTCGAATGAGAATGAGAGAATGACAACGCCACTTACCTCAGATCCAGCCTGATCACGGCGGATCGCCGGCGACCTCGTCGACGCGGAAGTCCGGAAAAGATGCACGGCGGCGGCGAGTCATCTCCCGATTTTCGTGAGCGGTCCATGGAAGATTTGCTCCGAGGCTCAGGCCATCCTGTGCGCAGAACATGAAGTCATTAACAGGGGCAAGCGGTGTAAAGAGCGTAAGACAGACGCCACGCAACGCAAATCACGCTGCCCCGTAAAGACGAGAGGCGAGGCGCGCGAGAAGGGGACAAGTTGCGGGACGACTGATCGCCTTAACTTCCAGAAGGTTAAGCTTCCCGTTTCTTTCCACATTGTTTTTTTGTCGACCAAACGTCGCGACCGAGCTTCAACGCGCCATCCGTCGTCGCGCTGGCGCTTATTAGATTCGCTCTAAATTCCTCTTAAAGCTTCACGGCACGCCTGGGTAGCACGGAACGGAGAGCCGACGATTCAACAGTTATTTCGACACCGACGCGTGTCGCAAATATACGTGCGTGTATGTCGATGTAGAAAAAATTGGGACAAGCGCACTCGATACGTTCTCTTCGAGACTCTAATAATGTAGCCACCTTGTGGAACATTGTAATTAAAGCGCGAGATAAATTGATTTTAAACACACGGCCTTATTACTATACGCGACTTAACACGATTATTTTATTATACGTCGGAAGCTCGTTAGCAGAGTCATCTAGATAATTAAAATTAATGATTTCTGCAGCGAGTAAAATGTGGTAATTATTTGTGATCACGTTGTGTTGGAGATACAGATAACGCTGATTGATCCGGAAATTGCATCACTGTCAAGATTGCAACAGGCGGATGAATGTTATCTACTTTTAGAGGATAATTCTAGTAATTTTCTATATATGATCGACAGTATTGACAATACCACGATCAGATTTCGGCCAGGTCAGAGTAATTACTTCGATAACCACTTATGTATATGTATATGCGACCATTTTTTATAATATAATGTTTACTACAAAGCTTTTAAAAGAATCCACAATAGTTAAATGTAAAACGTACCTACACTGTCACAACGGATATCATTTGCCAAGACAATCGTTTGTCCATTCGGCATACAGAATATGCCTTGCCATACTCTCGGGTCTGTTTTAACTAGCGATTTTGTTTCGAACCGAGCGTAAAAAAACTGCGATTGCACACGCGATACGCGCAAGAGAGAGAGAGAGAGAGAGAGAGAACAGAGTAGAATCTTTATTTGTTAAACACTCTTGGACAAGTCCCCTAAAGCGTTAGACAAGCTACACGGAAAAAATAATTACGAGCGAGGAATAACTTTTGTATAATGAATATTTTGTATATAGAAAAAAAATACCAGAGTCGAAATTTTGCTAGTATTTTGACACTTTTAAGGATAATTTACACCTACTTAGCTGATCTGTACGCCTACATGAACCAGCGATAACCTACTTTGATGACATTATATTTTATTACTCCTCCCTTGAATCTCTAATTCTAAAAATTCACTTTAGCTCCTACTTAAAAGGACCTAATTTAATGCTAAATTGGCGAAAGTAGAAATTTCCGACGCTATCAGTTTTAAAGTAGGAGTGAATTTTGTACTTGCGGTTCGACCTCTTTTACTTAGATTCTACTAAATAATAGAATTGAAGGTTCAACATATATAGGGCCAAAATTTCGACTTGGGTATGACAAAAAATTTGAAGAGAGAGAAAGAGAGCACTCGCGGAAGAATCGGTTGGATAGAAGTTGTAGAGTGGCACAATTTACGTTGATATATTAAGTCGCTATCTGGCGGATATAAAGAGGTGTCAATGCCGCGGTTTTCTAGCTGCAAGACAACGCGCGAGGATCCGTTGTGTGAACAGCTGCGGGGAGCATGCGAACGGGCGAGGAGAAGCACGGCTTCTATGATAAATTGCAGGAAAAATCGACGGTAAATTTCGTCCCAGCCTCTTCACGGCCGCGTCTCGCGACGTCGCCTTTCCGCCGACGCGTTTGACGTCTTCGACTCTTTGTCCACCAGACAGCCTTTGAATGCGTGAACACGCTCAAAGAGGCGATCGGCGCGAGCGTTACGTCGATCGAGAAATAAAATAATACGCGTCGCACGTGGAATGTTTGACAAAAAGGACCAGGTACAAGTTGAACGTTAATTGACACCGCTCTCTTCTGACAAGTGCGGAAACTGTCCCGGGGATTAAATATGAATATTCGTGCGTAATTTTTATGTATCGTGTAATTAATCGAAGGAACATTTTGGTAAAGGATTGTTTAATATCTCGGCAGACAAGTATTTTTCTAAACAAATGTTATTTTACACGCCTTTCAGCAACATCAACGCCGACTAGTGCTACCAATTTTGAACGAAACGCAAGGTGCAGAGTGGTTTCCTTTTAAAGCTTTTTCGCTGCGTAACCGCAAGACTTTAGAGTTCTCGCAGGTAGCATCCGAGAAACATCGACGAGAAGCTCGATCGAAGTTTCAAGCGTATAAGCGAATAAACAGAGCGAATCAAGATTAGGCGAAACACAATAGCACCGCGCGAATTCGGAGTAACCACCGCGTCACTCACCGTCGTGCCTGCTCGCCTAATCCCACTCGGCAGGAGCAGCAGCAGGTGGATCCTCCGTCTCGACCCACGTGGTACACATGTCCCGTGTAAAACCCTCGCGCACCCCCGCGCGCAAGAGAGAGGATCGCACGCCGCCGGTCTCGGATCCGAAAGTGCACGCGACCACAACAATTGCTCTCCCGCTCGAGAAAGACGCGACCGCGAGGGAGAGGAAAAAATCCGCACCACTTGGTCTGGAGATACGTGGAGACGCGTAACGTAATCGTCGGGGGGGGGGTTGCGAGCCGCGAGGGGGACGGCGAGGACCGCGTGTCGTCCGAGAAACCGTACCGCGGCTTCCGGGGCTCCGCGTGTGAAACTCTGGGAACGAGGGCCGGGCGTGTGTGGCGCGCACGAACGCCGCCGCGACAGGAGTGATAGTGGCGAAAGTGGGAGACCCTCCGGGAAATATATAGGTCCGCGGGGTGGTGTGGTGGTGGACCATGCGAGCGAGAGACGGGGAGGGGAGGTCCGCGCACGCATCCCTCTACGCCGCGTCGTCGCTGCCGCCGCGTATCCCGCGGGACGCGTACGGCAATAATTCGGCGTTTAACCCGGCGAGCTGTTCGCGTTGCCGATCAATCGCCCGGCTTATAGATAAGAGGGCAAAACTGTACGACAAACATCCCGATTATCTGCGTATGTGCGATTATTTACGCCTCTGAATCTCTATCGAAAAATATCTTAACATCACATCTAGACCAAGTGTCCTTCATATGTCACTTCGAGTACTATTTCTCGGCCAGTATTCCTAGCGATAACGTCTTACCGGGGCTTTTCTAGCGTTCTTTTTTTTTCACTTTCACGTTGAAAGGAGGAAGAACGTTTCGTTCGTTTCGTTATCTTATCAAAAGACTTTAAATGTATGTATATGCGTAAATTAATTAATAAGTTTTTTAATGTGCTTTAGGTCATTAGCGATTTTAAATGCTCGTTTTAGTTTGAAATGAACTGTTTGAAGTTGCAGAAAAGTCAGATGAATTCGTAACCGCATGTCATACCTTAATTACCTTAAAAGCATTTCTTTTGGAAGCAATTTGCTTTATATTTCGCTAATTTATACCTTTAGAGATACAATTCGCGATCTTTCTCTCTCTCTCTTTTTCTTTTCCTTGCCTCCTCTTCTCTTTTCTTCTCTTTCTCAGAGAACACCAGAAGGGCCATTCGAAACGAAAGCAACCGAAACGATGCAAACGATTTCTACACAAAAGCAGAGGCGCGCGTTGACTACGTTATCAGCCATTATCGCACCTATTTTCCCGTTGAATCTCATCTAGATAATCGGGAGCATTGTTTAAAATGGCGTTATCTGCGCGCTAAATACACCGACGGAAATCCCGACGTGCCCCTTTTCCTTTCTCGCGCGCCCTTCGCTCTAGGTTCAACGAACTGTAATTGTGGTACGGAGACGCGGCCGTAAAATTCTACCTACGAGATTAGAGTTGTGGCTTTTCCTTTATCATCCCACTGGAAGGTGGCAGCGCGCTGCCGACGCGACGTTTTATCTCTCTCTCCCCGTTTTTCCGTGCGCCCTTTTTCGCCCCCTTTCTCCTTCGAGTCGCTCGTCGCAAATCGCCCGCGAGTTTTTTTTTACCAGCGCGACGGATCGCGCGTAAAATGCCGGGACGAATCGCAAGGAGCCGGAGCCGGGAGAACTTAGAAGTGTCTTATAACGCGCGAGCAATACAATATGATGCAGAACTAATTACGTTGGGCGATTAAGCCCGGTAATTAACCCACTGGCAATCAACGTCCACTGTGATGGACATATAGCTTTTTTCACTTGCTATACTCAAATGCACAGTTTCGGAGTCTTTCAATAATTTATTAAACAATTAATTTCACCTGTCTGTAATAGACGTCTGAGAAAACGTGTCACAAGTGATGCAGAAATGGATAGAAAATTTGAAATATGCCGAAAAGAAGGAAATTGATTTAAGTCCAATCTACAATGTCTCTCTTTGCGTCCAGAAACATTCTATTTTCTTGCCAATTAATTCGTTTAAAAAAATTTGCACAAGTGGATAAATTGTATATTATACACCGTACAATCGTACCTACATTGTCGACAAGTTTTTTAAGCGTTTCGATTTGTTTATATAATATAGAATGTTTCTACACGGAGAGAATTTTCTTTTAAAATTTATCCTAAAAATCGTGGGACAACATGGCATTTTGAACAACTTTACGAGTTTCTTGAAATTTTACCAGTAAAATATATATACCGATTGTAAGTATAATTACTAATAAAAAGTATGGTAAAAATTAAAAAAACATGCCTCAGTGGTCGAATTGGTGAGACGCCCGTCTAGAGTGTAGGGAAGTTCAGGTTCAAACCCTGGCTAAGATAATATTTTTCGCAATAAATTTTCTGTATTATTAAAAATGCCAGATATGGTCAAGAAAACACTGACGTTGTTAATTATTACTGCTGGCGACATTAGAGAATAGTCTTATTAGTCATAAAATTCTTCAAAATGTCACGATGTCCCACGATTACATGATTTTCAGGATAAATGTTAAGAGAA